TGCGTGTGTGTGTGTGTGTGTGTGTGTGTGTGTGTGTGTATGTGTTTGTTGTTATAGGAAATAGATGGAAAGAGAAGGAATGAGATTGTGAATGTTTATCGCTTGATCACTTTGCTGACAGCAGAAAAAGTAAAAAGTATTTGATTCTTCTTTTGTTCGCAGTTACTGGTATTGCAACACCAGGTTGTCTACTTGCTATTATGGGTGCCAGGTAAGGACTTATTTCAATCGCTTGATGAAAACCTGAGTAAGGGCGAAAAATCACCGCGGTCTGTGTGCAAGTTGCAAACGTTAAAGATCCCTCGAAGGTCTAAAATCGATAAGAGTAGCGTTGGCTTCGGCCGCCAAAATTAATTCCTACCAAACTGTAAATGTTTAATGTACCCGGCGCGCTCATTAATTGACCCTATGCAGTTGCGAGCGCTGTTAATCACTTAGCAAACAAAACAGCAAAAAATAAATAAGACATAAGGCAGGAGAAGACAGTAGAATTAAAAATGCAGGAGAAGGATATTGCGCAAATAGGAAAAGCCACGGTATGACAAATGGCGAAGGGACCATGTGCAGAAGGGAAAATTACATGAGAAAAAGTAGAAGAAAAACGATGGGAGCTAGGACATTATTAGGACATAGTCAGGTATAGAAGAGGCACAGGAAAAAGATTGAGATAAGTAAGAAACAGATGAAGGGAGAGAAGGCATGGAGAATGATTTTTTTTAAACCGATCAAAACAAAACATTAAACGAAAACTGCAATAGAAAAAAGAAAGTGTTAGGAATTATTGATGTTTCAACTCGTAAGGTATTTCAGCAGTATAAACAGCACGCTAAAAAAATGATTGAATTGTATTGTCTTTATTTAGATTTTTTGTGCTAGAGAAGATCGTGATTTTTTAAAGTTTTTTTATGCTTGACATCTTCCCTTGTTTTCAGTGGCTCGGGAAAATCGACGCTGCTAAACGTGCTGACAATGAGGAACACTAAAGATTACATCACCTCGGGAGAGGTTCTTCTCAATGGCGTTCCCGTATGTAATCGTTTTATTTAGTATGGTGATATTTCAGTAAAGTACATTAATAGTGATTAAAGAGAGCATTTTTATTTATTATTATGCTCTGTCCCGTTTCGAAGAAAAGCTCTGAGTAACGTACGATTATTTAAAGCAAACAGTAACCCCCCC